CTGAGATATAGTTCTGGGGTCTTTGCAATTTCTGTGGCATTGCGTGGTCTAACACTGGGTTGGAGCACCAAATCACAGCAACAGTTGCCTCAATGCACTTTATATTGTAAGGTAAAGGCCCTATAATAATACTCCTGGAAAGATTGGCAACTGCCTCACATGTTTTCTTTATATTAACAGTCTTTATCATTCTAGATTATAGACTTCAATTTCTTTGTAAACAGCTTTTTAACCTTTTACTGATTGATGGGCAGCAACAATGACTTCTCTAGAGTTATTGCTGATGTTGTTCATTCTTAACATTTTGTTAACATTACATTTCTAAACAGAATTTTAAACATGCTGATGATCAGCTGATCAAGTGATTTTGATTAGCAGTAGCTGGCTGCTACAATAAGGGTGTACTTACTTCCGCCTACACGGCTTTAGCATTTTGGCTTTTTTGTGTTAAATTTCCACACGCTGAATGATGTCATGTGGTGATCCTCAGAGGTTCTGGTGACTCTAACTTCAGAATGGAAGGTGTACTGTATTTCCCAAAATCTACAGTTATTACACAGTGAACCTTTAGTTTGCACTTCAAATATTAATTCAACTTTTGGAAAAAATGCTTGTACATTTTCTTGCTCAGAGTTGAAAGGCAGATTCAGGCCTCTTCCAGGTTAGTTAAGCTTTTAAACTATGTCACTGTAAACACCATTTTGTTTTGGGGTTGTTGTTTTTTTTTGCTGTTTAGATGTAGAAAACAGCCTTTTAGTTTACTGGAAAATGACTACACAGTCACTGCTTCTTGATTTGACTTCACTTTTGTTGCCCTATTCATTCTAATGCAACAGCTTGTATTGTAGCTACTCTTCTGATTTGAATTTAAAGTCTTCTTAATGTATTGATATTCTCATATTTGAGCAAGACTAACATGAAAATAATTTGCTGAAGCATCATGGAGGGTTAAAAATGACACCAACACTAACCTCAAAATCTAATGTAGTCAAGTTATCTTTTTTGACAGATTTAACTTTGTTAAGATTGTTATTTATTATATACATATCATATCATATATTTTACAGGTGAGTGATCGGTGAGTATTTTCATTAATTAGACTAGAGCGATGTGATAATGAGACATACCCTCATAGATTTATATAGTCTCTCAGCAAAGAAGTTTGGGATGCTCCCGGCACATTTCACTGTGGAGGAAAAAGACAAAAACTGATGAGGCTATGTGCAAGACTACATTTTTTGTAAAGTTAAGCTGACACTGTCTGATGCTCACTTTTTGCTATCAAGTGTTATCTTCTGTCATATTTTATTCAAAATTTCTTGAAAGAAAACCCCATCCAGGGATATTCTGATTACTTGTCCCCGTATGTGACGCCTAAATTATCACCCAGATAAATTGCGGCTCTTACCAACAGCCAGCAGCAAGTTCTCCAAATTCCCAGTGGTCTCGCCTCTAATGCTGTCCTCTATGTCAGAGCCAGAAAGCTTCTTGTAGGCAGCAAATACTGCAAAATAACCAAAACAGCCACAGTGACAGACACTCATACATCCTCATTAGAGAGAAACACATCAAGCAATTTTCAACATGAACCTGTTTTTACTTCAGGGCAAAAAATATGTCAGTTTCAGCCCTTAGATGATCTCTTTGTGCACAATATGAGTGTGTTTTGGTGAGTTCACTGGATTACATTTATTTTATTGCATTTATATAAATCAACCTGGCACAGTGTGTAACAGTAATTGACCATCCCTTGTTAAATCATGAATTAATTGTGATTAACCAAATTTTTTTGGAAAGTCAAGTTCAGTTTCACTAGCCACACCCAGCCTGATTACTGTCAGTCCTGTTGAATCAAGAAATCACTTAAATATAACCTGTCTGAGAAAATGAAGTAGGTTAGAAGATCTCACATCATCCCACAATTTAAAGAAACTCGAGAAGAGATAAGAAACAGTGACAGAATGCTGGCAATCATGGACAATGACTCCCACCCCTCCATAACACACTGGAAATCTGAAGAGCAGCAACAGGTTCCTTCAACCTTGCTGTCTGAGGGAACGTTATAGGAGGTCGTTCCTTCCTGCTGCTATCAGACTCTCTAATTCATCCATACAGTATTAATTGCACCTCAATGAACCCTGTCTCTTTTGTACACCATGACATTTTTGCACACATACTTTTATATATATGTATATTCATGTTTATATATATGCTATATCTCTATATTTATCTATTCATCTTAATATTTATCTATCATAACTGTTTCTACACTCACATTTTATGAGTGCTTGTTGTTTGTTGTATATTTGCTGCTATGACAACTCAATTTCCCTTTGGGATTAATAAAGTTTCTCTCATTCTCTGATTCTGTTTCTGAAACAAAGTCATTGACTTCTGTTAGTGAATCGGTAGACTTTTTTGCACTATCTACCAAGTTACTCTAAGAGCGCACTGACAGCTCATCCAGGAGGTCACAAAAACCCAAACAACACCCAAAGAACTGAAAACCTCACTTGTTTTAGTTAAGGTCAGAGTTCATGATTCAACAACAAGGAGGAGACTGGGTAATCATGCCATCATGCCTATGGGAGAGTTCTAAGATGAAAACTATTGTTAATCAGAGAGTACACAAAGGCTCGTCTCATGTCTGCCATTTATGATCCCCAAGACTTTTAGGAAAAAAATTTATAGACTAACAAGACAAAGGTTGAGCCTTATGGGAGTTTTGAGTCCCATTACATCTGGTGCAAAACTAACAGCATTGTATAAAAATAACACCATACTAACAGTCAAATGTGGTGGTGGTAGTGGGATGGCCTGGGGCTGCTATGCTGCTTCAGGGCCTGGACAACTTACACAAACTCCATCAATGGAACCATGAATTTTGCAATTCTACAAAGAAGAGTGGGTCAAAATTCACAAAATGTGTCCATAGTGATGTGAAAGGCTCATTGCCAATTATTGCAAATGCTTGACTGTTGTTGTTGTTCTCAAGGATGGTACAAGTAGTTATTATCTCCAATAAATCCAAGATCTATTGGAGATCACGGTCTGGTTTTCATTAGTGGAGAGAAGGTTGAACAAGTGACAACTTTAAGGTTAAAACTGTCTCTAGTGCCATTACTGAATGGTAATAGGTGAAATTGTAAATAAGTGTTTATATGTGTGTGTTATTGTACATGACGTGTTCCTCTCGATTCTCCAAAGTAAATTTCTGTCAAGGAAGACAATAAAGGCTAATCTAATCTAAATCTAATTAAGTTTAGGGGTCAATTACAATTATGTAGGTAATGAATAGGTTTTTTAAATCTTATTTAATGAAAACAGCCTCTATAACTGCATTTGGTATTTATTGGTGTTATCTTTGTGTAATATTAAAATCTGTTTGATGATCTGAGACATGTGTGGGTGAGGGTGCAACAACTAGGTAATCAGGAAGAGGGAAAGTAGTATCCCACATTAAAAGCCACATAAAAATCAACCACTGGAATCATTTTTCCAGTGGTTGATTTTGAACAATCAAAACTAATTGGCACAGATACAGAGGCATCAGTGTCAACTGAAATAACTGACATATTCCTGGTGTACCTCACTGCCTCATCAGTTAAAAAGTTGAATGTTGACGCAAATGCAAAAGAGACTGTCCCAACCACAAAAAAGACACACATTGTCTGTTGTTTACTTAACTCTTTCCTGATAAACAACATATTGCAGTTGTGGAGCAAGTTAGTAGCTTTTCACCTCTTAATGAGGACCACAATTTTTAGAGTTCAGAGAATAGGTCAGCATACGTGTTTGAGCAGGTTTATATCCACTCATATGTTATGTTATATTGGTTTAATTGTGAAATTAATATGTTAATTTGTATTTTATCTTAGTATTGCTGCGTCATTTTACTAAACCAAACTTGTCTACATTTTTTATTTTAATAAAAAAAAGTTAAAGTTAGTAGATCAGAAAAACTGTGAAACGAGCAGTCAAAGTAATTTGATAGAAACTTGCCAACAACTGACTTTTAAAAGACTTGCTAAAGCACATCGATCTGTTTGTTGTTTGTTCACATCTGACTAAACCATTGCACTTTCTACGCTCTCAACTTACTCTCCACAATCTGTGCTGTTTAAGCATGTTTCACTGATATTTCCTGCACATTTTCTTACACTTTGACTTTTTTGTTTTCCTTTTTTTTTTCTCAGTGTTCGTCTTACACAGCTAACGGACACCCTGAGCATATCACGACATCCAAATGGGCTGGCACAGGCAAACTGGCAAACTCACCTTTTCTGAGATGTTCAGCGCTCCTGTTGCCCAGAATTGTGATAAATTTTTCCTCATCTGTGCCAAACTTTCCCTCACCAGCAGCATACAAGTCCTGTAATGGAAGAGAAACACACACAAACACACACACACACACACACCTCGTGCTGACTTGATTTATTGAAACACATGTTAAGAAATCACAGCTTTGTACTGTGCCAAATCAACAATGTCTATTCCCCCTATTTGTTATTATAAAGAAAATCTAGATTTCCTGATTTTATGTCCTTCACCAAACAAAGGTTTTTGCTTTTTTTTTCTATTCTTGCTCAGAAATATTTTATCATATGATCAAATACCAAAATAATAACATATTCATACGAGTCATTTATTATTGCTTTTTAATGAATTAGCATTGCTTATTTCTCCTAATTTGATCACAGAGTGGCTTAACAACGCTCTGGTGTTATGAGTCAAGATGGACTGCTAGTCATGATAATTTGGTGTGTGTTTAGATACATGTTATTGAATGTTAATGTCTGCTACATGTAATGGTTTTAAAACAAGATGCCATAACTACACACAACTCTGTATGTCTAATGCCAACTTTTGGTGCAAGTATAGGAAGTAATACAAATTATATCAGTGTGTAAAGTTCCCCTTGAGGCACAGACTTTCCATTTCCTTAAACTTAAACAGACTTATTGAATATCTGGAAAACTGTATATTTATAGTGATACCCCAATGTCTATCTATTAAACATCATGCAGTGAGCTTAGCACACAAACTGGACATGTGGAAAGAGTTAGACTGTGTCTCTCCAAAGGTAACAAAATCCGCCTCCCTACACCTCAACACCTTACACATTATTTATCCAGTACAAAGATCGAAGTGTGTACGTGACAGTTCAATAATTTACTGCAGGGGATATGTGCAGGACTTTTTTGGTAGAGAGCTATAACTTCTTGGAATCTTCACTGGGTGGCTGGAAATCAATACTAGTTGAGAAATAATCCTTATTTTTTATTTATTACATTTTTTTTGCCATGTTAAAAATGATCTTCTAAGCCTCCCTATACCTTACCCAAAAAGTTAATTCTGTTGATCTGGACGTATTGATTTCAGTCGGAGAAACGTTTCGTCACTTATCCAAGTGACTGGGATGAGTGACGAAATGTTTAAAGTAATCCCTGTTGACCCTTTAATGGGCTTTGGTGAGATGCCTCCATTTATTCTTTCTCTGAAACAACCCATTTTATCTCCTCCTATTTAAATTAACCTTGTTCTGATAGGCAAACAGTGAGTGTCCTGCAGTCGTAGAACACGGTGGAGGCTCTGTCATGGTTTGGGGCTTTATTTCAGCCACAGGTGTTGGAGATTATTGAAATTAATGGAATGATGAATTATTAATGCAGAGAAGAACCATTAGATTCTGATCCAGCATGCAATACCAGCTGATAACAACAACTTAATTTTTAAACATGACAATGATCCCACACTGCCAGGGCAGTAAAAGCATGCATAGATAGAAAAACACACAATGGAACACTATTATGGGCATTGACCGCTCGCAGGAGAGCCTGGACAGAAACATTATTGAAGCAGTGTGGGATCATCTTGATAGAGAACAGAACAAAAAGGCAGCCGACCTCCAAAGAAAAGCTTTGAATATCTTTCAAGAAACCTGGGCAACTATTCCTGAAGGCTACGTAAAGAAATTACAAGAAAGCTCAGGCTGTGTTAAAACATGGTCAAATATTGACTTTCATCCTTTTTAGAATAGCATAAGCTCTGTTTTTGTCATATATGTTCCACATTTCAATAAATTGCTGCACTTATTTCCCATTTTCAAGTAAAATATTAAGAAATGAAGTGTAACTCAAGACTTTTTCAAAGTACTGTATACAAAAAAATAAGGAAAACATAGTAGTCCTGTAAAAACAATGGAATTAGACATAAAAAATAAAAAAAAAACGGCTCGATTAACACCAGTGTAATTGGGTAATAATAAAAACAGTGATTTCTTGTTAATGTAGTGTTGAAGTTGCTTGAATTCCCTGGACAAACTCACAAAGCTAAAGTGGAAAGCCAGCTCTTGCCATGTGTATTTTTATCTCATGTTCTTCCTTCTTACCTTAGCGTCTTTCTCGATCTTTTCCTCGTCTACTCCCTCCTCCCTACTCCCCTTTGCAGCCAGACGAAAAAAAGAGAGGTAGGAAACCAGACAGGTACAAAGACAGGTGGACAAACATAGAGTAAAGTAGGTCAGTGTGGATGGAAACATGGTGCGCTCAGACCTCTCAACCCAGGTAACATCTGAACACCTAATTAAATGATCCCTCAAATCTACAAGAACCATGAAAATTACTTTTCCTTCTGTATAAACATCACATTAAAGAAACTAAATGTGCTGTCATCCCCCTCCCCCTTTCCAGCCTACACGTCTCATGACTTTCTAATGGCATCACTGTAGGATCTCATTATCAGGAAAAGAAACATAAGTCTCTCCAGCAGTGCCCTTCTTTACCTGCAGCAGGATCACCAGCAGTTTCTGATAGTGCCCTGAGGTGTCACCACAGATATCCTTCTCCAGCTTTCCGCCAAACTCTGGAGGAAAGAAGAGAAGGGGGGCAGACGATTGCTTACAGTTCCTGTTCACGACAGTTGCTAATGATTTCAGTCGACCTTAGTAGGCTGTCCTCTGTTTTGCAGGATGAGCCATGAGAGGAGAGATTTGATTAGTTGACTAAGGGTCTATGCTTTCGTCCAGATCAGATAAACTGCATTCTCTGCCTTGGGCCATTTGAGCCTTTGTTATCACATATTTTCCATCACGGTTTGTTGTAAGTCACAGCTGCTATGTTAGAGACCTTTCATTAAAGTGTGACAGGTGATACAGAGGTGCAGTGTGTTTATTACTCGGATGACAGAACATATTACACTGAAAATAAAAAGGATCAGCACCACGCTATGGGCTTTAAATAAGCATGGTACTCTAGAGAAAAGAGCAGATATTATAAATCTATATGAATAAAGAAACTATATACGATATACTGTTATTTCTGTACTATGCAGTAAATTGACAATAGGCACGCCATCATAGGTTTGGGACTAAAATACTTGAGGGAGGGGTTTGCATTAGGATGGGCATTTAATGTAAAATCTGTTACAACTCAAGTATACAGATCCATCTGCTGTGGTGAGCCCTTGGGAATGAGCCCAGACCTTTATTTTACTAGCAGGCATGAGTGCCTGTGCATTGCTCCTATGCAGCTTGGATATCCAAGCTGTATACCCTTGCTTGCTACCCTCAGCTAATAACTTAGCACTCAACCATCTTGTCTAAATATGGTCACTTCTGGCTTTTGTGGTGTCCAAAATGAATGTTTTGGCTTCGAAATGTGAATTTCTTATTCACAGTTGTCTTATAAAATCTATGTTTGCTTACAGAGTCATAAGGATAAAGAGATTCAAACTTGTCCTGTGTACTCTAATGTAGATCCCCAAGTTTCCTACACAAACATCATATAAATTTAACGAAGATTTGGAACAAATTAAACTGAGTGAGAAGTTGGACAACTTGGAATTGTAAGCACAAGGAAAGGCCAGATAATTTTCAGCTAACTCAGCCTATTAGCTAATTAGCAAGTCAGTGTAATCCTTAAACGTGTGATAGACTCACAGCCTATCTAGTGTACCCCGCCTCTCACACTGTTACACACTGTTCTTGCTACTAAGTGACCCTGAATGGAATAAGCAATTAAGAAAATGGATGGATCGAATTTAATCTCTATAGTTTTAAGACAATTAATTTCCTATAAAAATCACTCCAGACACAGACTGGGTATCTTGATTTTGAATATTTGAAGGCCTCGTAGGCACACACAGACACACACACAGACACACACACACACACACACACACACACAGACACACACACACACACACACACACACACACACACACACACACACGTACGTGCCCTTTTGTAACAACAGTAACCCTACACATTGAAAAATGATGACTTGGAAGTGGCATAGTCATCTTAGTTCTTTTATAAACTGGTGTGTTTTTTCAGCGCGCCCAAAAAACTTGTGGGCATGGAGATGTAACTAAATTACGTTTGGTAAGTTCTCATTTTCCACTAATAATCCAAACTGGATTCTTTTAATTATGACTCATTTCCTCGTTGTTATTTTTAACTGTGACAATTATAACCAATTAAGCTTTAATCAAAACATGATCTTGACATTAATCAAATCCCCTTTGTGCCAAAAACTATCAAAACATTAATGGCAGTTTACTTTTAAAAAGTAAAAAGCTATAAAGCTTTTAAAGGCGCAGATATCTTCTGCCAATGCAGTGCCAGTAAAACAAAACATCTTAATGTATTCTTCTAGATGCGTCATTATTTGTAGTAGTCACAGTAACCATGTTTGTCTGTTTTTCTCTGCCTCTTCATCAGTGGAGTGTTTTACCTTTCTTGTACACTTTGGTGATTTCTTTAATCTGCTCGCCAGTCCTTGAGGCCAGGATCTCAATTAGCACTTCATCTTCAGTCCCGGCACCCTGGGAACCCGACGCATGAGATAAATGGAGTCAGTGTGAAACAATATCCATATCTGTTCAATATTAAATTTTAGTACATGTTTATTATACATTAGGCTATATCATTGATTAGTAATATGAAAAAAAAGAAAGCCTAAAAGTCGATAAAGAAAAATATAGAAATAAAAAAAGATGTACAACTTGAGAGCATAGCAGAGTTAAAAGGTTTGCAATTAGAGAACGAATAGGTTCAATACTAAAGAGAATTATCTTTGACGTTCACTTCTCTATGCTGCAATTAACCTTACAGCAAGACTGTCTGGCAAACCTAACTAATGGAGGAGTGGGTGTGATAGGAATGTTGAGGCCAAGTCCTAAATGCTTTGCTCTCACTTTGACTAAACACTTCATTTGCACATGGGTAATGCAAATGTAAATGTGTCTGAAGAATAATGAGACAGAAAAAAAATTTCATTTGTAAATCATATGAGAATCTGAGAGTTTGCTAAATGTTTTTCCCTCATGCAATTCCCTTCTAACTTTATGAGCCTCCTGTGACCTGAAAAAGAGCACTCATAAAATGTCTGAAATGTCTATAATATAATATGTCCAGTTTGATCTGACATCTTTTTTCATTTGAGTTTCACTGAAGGTACAAAAGATAGATCTAATGGACTACAATGCTCCAATGCTGCAAAAACAAAATGTTTGCAGGAGATATAGAGAGAAAGCTTAACCAATTTAAAGATATCTGTATATGAATTTTTGGAATATATTGGCAAAAGAAAAAGGAGTTATGGTATTTGAGACGTTCTAGATTCTAGTTTTAGTCTGTTTGAATTTAAAATTGTATTGACAATTTAACAAACTGTCAAATCTGCAATCTCAAAATATTGAGCTACGGTCTGCCAACGAGTTAACTATGAATTAACTTTAAATACAATTATGTGCATTCATCAAGTGCATGGAACCGAAAGTCTTGGCTATTATTGATTATCAGTCATTCATTGTCTGGATGTCACCAAAACCCCCCGAATCATTTGGCATTACCCCCTGCAGCTAAGTCATCAGATGACAGTTTCAATTTTACCGTAACAATGAAAACAAAAAGGCTAAAACCACCATGTAGTACCTGTGACAAAACACAATAAGTCTTTTGTGCCTGAATTTAATTGTTTTGTCCTTGCCTTTGTTCTCAGTTTTAAACATGTCTTAGTCATGGCTACATTGTCTGAAGTCTAAAGCAAGCTGCTGAATACAAACAAAGTAATCTGAAAGAAAAGAGCTCTGCAACAAGCTGACAAACTCAAAGCCAGCAGTATGATCACCTTATGCAGTCATCACAGCTGCTACTGCTATCAAACTGTGGTGAACTTCCAGCAAACTTTTGACAAACAGGTCCAATATTATTCTTGTCATCCACAAACTCTGGATAAATGTTATAATTTTAACAAATTTAATTCAATTTATTAATTTTAACTCTTAGATAAATATAATGTCTCCACTAGCCATTTGTTGCTGGACAGCCTAGAGTATAACATTTTTCTACCTCAGCTATTATTACATTAATACATAATCGTAGTTTCTTAATCTAGGAAGTCTAAAAGGGGCATTAGAAACAACAAATATGTATGAATTAATGAGAAATAAATAATACTTTAGTGGTTGCATGCATTATTATGGTATTCTTTTGAAAATTTGCTTGTTCAAAATATTAAAGACTTACAAAGACTGCATTTTCATTATATTTCTGTTTGATTCAGATATATGAATTAGCAGACCTACAAAAACTGAATAGTCAGATAATAAGAAGTATGAGTAATGAGTTTTTAATGGCTGATGATCACTTTGGCTGTCAGTGCACTCCCACTAATTTTAGAAGCACCCTAAACCATTGTGTTCTGGAAACGAGCCCTGGCTATTGGTTGAAAACAGCTGCTTCCTGCTGTTGGAGTCGAGCTTGATGATAGCATTGTAACATATCAGTAAATGTGATGTAATGCCAAAATGTTGATCTAAAAAAGAATGGGCATCAGAGATTGGTCTAAATGGTCTTTGTGGAGTTGTCAAGCAGCTTCTATCGCATACTGTTAACATAAAATAAAAGGTTTTGAACGTCATGTGGGAAAACAGATAATAATACATGTTAGGTGGCCTACCTGTTGGCCCAAAGATTTATAACGAAGCTGAGTTGAGTTAAGAGACTAGTAGCAACAGTGGCAGGAACTATTTTTTTATTATGTAGAAAGAGTTCCTGCCACTGTTGCTTTTAGTTAAAAAGGCAAACTGGAAAAAGGTCCTTCTGGTGGCAAACATTTTACCTTTTCAACCAAACTTTTCAGAACACTTTTTCAGTAATGTTTGAGTTCCATTTATGTGGGCTAAAGAGAGGGAGGGAGCTGGTAGTGTGCATGATATCTTACTAGCAATTATGTTTGCAACTCTTTTTTCATGTATTAGATGCTTTATTGCTAATGTTGAAACTCTGTGTAATGTAGATTAAAAAATTTTTACCTTTTCATCTCTTGTAGTTGAAATCTGTAAAGTGGCTTCAATATGAATATAGTGCATTGACTGAATAAAAGATGGACATAATCATAATGACATCACCTATTGGTTTGAGAAGCCACTGCATTGCTGAACAGTATTATTTTGTTTCTATGTACAAAGTGAATAATGAATAACAGCAAAACACACACATACACCAAAAATTGAAATTTCAGTGGTCCCTAATTTACTCATTTGTTTGTCTGGCTTTGAGAAGTTGAAATGTCTGTTGTCAACTATGAAGTGTTTCCTAATCAAACATTATTCAAAAAACATCACAATAAAAACGTAGGCTACATTCACATTTACATGAGACCTGTAACATGGTTTAAGTTGTTACCTTGAGAGCGTTGTGCAGGAGAGTAGCATCATATAAGACAGATGGGGTCATCAGAGCCACAATAAGACTCTCAAACAGTCCACCGAGCTCAGATTTCAGTGCACTGACCAAGTCCTGTGGTCAAATAATTAATAATAATGAGAGGAGCTAAAACAGTAATAACTATATTGGTAACAGGGACATTTATATAAACCACACCAGATCCCAACATTAAAACCAGAAAAATAAGTTAAAAAACACAAAATGACCATTCAGGACCTTGATGTGAAGAAGATGAGGGAAAAAAAAATTACATCTCACTGCTTCGCTTATACTTAGAGTATTCAATGTGACCTGCAGAAGAGGAAAATATATTTACTTTGCAAATTACTCACAGCTGGCTTTCTCTAAATTGTTTTCTGCCTCCAATGATTTGTGCATTGCAGGAACCAAATGAACAACAGCATATACCATTGTTATTTGAGTATGTGGCTCTATTTGTGTACACAAAAACACCCACAGCACTGTGCTCATCCAAGTGCTCTTTGGAGAAGTCCAGAAATCACGATTCTAGCTGAATACATTAGATATTAAGCAGAAATTCCCCATATTTCTGGATAACACAATCCATCTATTTGTTATTTTTTGTGTGTAGAACGAGTTAAATTTCTCAAGTCAGACTAATCAAATCCCTACAAAGAATGTGGAAAAAAGAAAATGACAGAGGATGTAATATTTTGTTCGGTTATATAGAAAAAAGTAGACTCAGGCTTCAGATATTTTTGCAGTTGAGCACAATTGTGTAATGGCGTCATGACATTTTAATACATCTCATAAAGATTCTCTGCAATACTGAGCAAAGCAAAAAGTCTCACGTTCTGGGTCATTTTGATAAAACACTGTAATATACAGAGCTATCCCTGGAGCTGTTTTGTGATACATCTATGCTCTCTCAAACTCCTCCATCTACTTATACTTGAGACAAAGCAAATTAGCTTTCAGCTTTCAATCCACAGGTGGGCATAAAAAAAATCTTCACTGTGTGACAGAACAGTGAGACTATGGATGCTTAAAATTCTGTCTAACTAGCTGCACTGAATTCTGCGCCATAGAGATTGGGGAGAACTGCCCTTCCTGCCACTTATTTGAGGACTGTTCAGTCTTGATCCAAAATCTTGCCCTTTAAATCACAGACTTAATGTTTTTGGCTGCCTTTTTGCTGTTAAAAATTGTTGAACAGAAGACAGCCAATGGTGAAAAACCAGCAAGAGTCTATACTTAAGTAATCTAACAATGTGAAAAAATTACAAGCAAAGGTCCTGTATGCAAAATTTCACCCAGTTAGGTGCACAAAAAGCAATGGAAATCTTATAAGTCAGAAGGATTTATTCCTCTATCAGTTGTACCTGCTCCCTAATTGATTAAATAGGTATTGGAGAACTCATCCAAGGAAAAGCTCAAAACTAATCAAGTGCAATATTGAGGTCTTTACTTAAGCACATTTGTTTGTATTTTGAACATAGCTAATTCATTCTTTAATAGCTTTAAAATGTGACTCTGAAATGCTAGTGCAGTGCTTTGCACCGTCACCTCACAGCAAAAAGGTCCTTAAATTCAGGCTAGGGCCTCTTTGTTTTTTTATTATTATTTTTAGTAAAAAAAAAAAAAAATTAGTAAAATAAAATGACTGTAAATTGCCTTCAGGTGTAAACGATAGCTGGAAGCTATGACACGTTGTAGTCCCCTTTGTTTTGATGTCAAATAACACAGAAGCCCCAAGTACCCGCTGTTCAGAGTTTTAGTTTGTGAGGGGCAGCCAATCAGAAGACAGTTACCTTAAAGGAAGAGGAGCTAAACTGTCTTTTTTGAGACAGAGAAAGTAGTGAGAGGTTGCATCAAGGCCCAATTTGACCTGTAATTGTATATCAGTTCTCTGTTTAATTCCTAGTGGCTCTTCTCACCTTTCCGTAGGCCTTTTTATATGCTGCCTTAATTTGCTGGCGCTGATCATTGCTGCGGGCTGTAAGAAGCATGAGGATGGCATCTTCATCTGTACCTGCACCAGAAATCATATAAACCTTAAATAATGTGTGGAAAATGACTCTGAAATCATCTGCAATGTGGGTCGAGACAAAAAGAAGCTTTTCATTTCAAGTCTTTCTTATCAAACACAACACAAATCCTTATTATGATAGCTTCCAGTATATCCTAACCTAAATGAGTCAGCCTGTTAGAGCATGAGATCAGGATTCAAAAGGATTGGCATGGCAGATGATCTAACAACCAATAGCTTTCTAAAGTCAACAGCACCTTAGTTTAAAAAAAAAAAAAAAAAGGCTCAGAGACGCAAACAGGCTGAAGCAGCATGTATCATTTTCAATCCAGGGATCAAATGTTAAATTAGTGAAAGGTAATTATGGCACAAAGCCCAGCTGATCTGCAGTGACAGCACTGACTAAAGAACTGTACTTAAGTAGTGCAAGTCTGCTGTTTCAAGTTTGAGTCCACAGTAGTTTGCAGACAGGGAAACCATTAATTAGATCTAATGGTTCTGCTTGTACTGGTCATAAAGTGTTAGGAAAAATAATTTACAGTGTTATCGCTTTCTCTCTCTGAAACATGCGTCAGTTTTAATGTTGGTGATACACTAATTGGTAAAACACACTAGAAAAATGAATTGCTTTCCCATCTTTCAGATGATGCTTACAAAAGGGAGCAGTTCAGATGCTCTGACAGCTGTGTCAGTAATGTGTTTTTATCTTTGTTCATTATCTGTTTTCACATCCTTTCCTGTATTTACAACCACTACTGACAAATAAGAAGACAACAGTTTTTTATTAAATTAATATAGGATGAAATGACTGGTCATGCTTTTTGTAGCTTTGCCTCCTTACATCACCACAGTGGACTTTAAATCAAGCAGTCAATATGTAATTATGTGCAGAATTTCAGCTTTAAACCAAGGAATGTTACAAAAATTGTGCATGACTATTTAGAAATTACAGTAGTTTTATACTTAGTTCCCCATTTTCAGAGGTACAGCTTTTTCATTGAATGACTTACACAGGGACCTGCCAAGTAAATAAATAAACACACCTAAGCAGCTATAAAAAAAATAAAAAAAAAGCTTTCAACTGTGCAAAGAATTCATTTTTTGTATTTATGGTCATCGCTGTGAAATGTTGCATACAATAGTCAGTTAATGTCTAGAGTCAATGTGAAATGAAAGTGAGCAGCAATACATTTAAGCAGGATACTGACCCATCCCTTTCATGGCCTTATGGAGGATTTCAGCATCATGTTTGGCATTAAAGTTGACGTAAGGTCTAACGCTGCCTCGGTACGCCTGTAGGAAGAGAGCAACACATGTAAGTAATAAAACATTTGTAACAAGCAAAGGTTTCCTTCATC